TGATTTGCAAAGGAAATGTGCTGCACAAATGGAATCAAACAGTAAAAACATTGATATCAGAAGAATTTGGTTCAAATATTCTCCTTGTTATAATAAGATAAAGGGTTTTTCTGAACCATGGGTAGAACAGGCCATAAATTATGGGGTTTATGGTTGAGTTAATGTAGCCTAACCAGACAAAAACTTCAAAGAGAGCAATTGGAGTGGAAAAGTTGATGTAAGGGTCAATCAAAGAGTTAATAAAAAATGGCAGCCAGCAAATAATAAAAGCACCCACAACCACACCTAGAGTTTTTGCTGCTTTGCGCTCAGATCGTCGAGAGCTTTTAAACATATTTTCGTTTTCATGCTGGTTTGTCTCACAGAGTTTTCTAGCGTGCTGTTTTGCGATCACAAAAATTCTTGCGTACAGTCCAACCATGACAGAACAAGGCAAGAGAAAAGCTATTAATGTGTCTATGGCTCCCCACAATGCATTGAAAAGCAAAGTGCAACTTCCCATACAGTATATTGATTCAATATATTCCTCCAGTCCTTCCACATTAGCATTTGAGTACACTAAGCCATAAGAATATAATGCAGCCATGCTCCAACTTATCATCACCATGACCCATGCGACAGGTATGGTTATTCTTGCAGGATACTGAAGTGGATAACAAACTGCCTGATGTCGATCAATAGCAATAAAAATGAGATGAAAAATAGACACTGATGTGAGAAACAAGTCAAAAGTGGAGTGTAGCAAACAGAAGGCATCTCCATAGTACCAGCAGCCACCCACAGAACGGATCATACTGAAAGGCATGACCACCAGTCCAAGCAGCAGGTCCGCTAGAGCCAGAGACATCACCAGGATGTTAGTGGGAGTCTGGAGCTGTTTGAAGTGTGCGATGGAGATGATGACCACCAAATTTCCTAGAATGGTCACAGTCATCGCCAACACCAATAGGAGATACACCACAGTCTGAGTGGAAACATGATGTGTGCCTTTAAGACAAGAGTTGTTCACTGCAGGATAACAAAACTGAGTGGGATCGTATTCTTTTGATGATAAATCCATCCTGCCAGTCTCAGTCTTAGAAAACAAAAACCTATAAAATTCTGGCCTAGATGGACTACCAGTATGTTAACAAGTCCCTTAAATACACTTCATCATCTTCTCTGACCCTCCTACATGATGTGGCAGCAAATAATAGCCAAGCACTTAAAATATGCATTACTTCAGTTTTCTGCTTTAGCCATGGCTCAATGATTCTTCAACCTAGCACATAAACTACTGTCAAAAAGTTTGGGGTTTGTGAGACTTTTTTAGTGTTTTTGAAAGTCTTTTACGCTCACCAAGGCTGCATTTATTTGATCAAAAATACAGTAGAAACAGTAAAATTGTAAAATATTATTACAATTTAAAATATCAGTTTTCTACTTGAATATATTTTAATGTATTTAATATATATTTAATATAATTAATATTTATTCCTGTTAAGCAAAGCTGAATTTCCAGCATCATTACTCCAGTCTTTAGTCACGTGATCCTATAGAAATGAATCTAATATGCTGATTTGCTGCTGAAGAAAGATTTATTATTATTAATGTTGAAACACTTGTGCTGCTTAATTTTTTTCAGAGGAAACCGTGATACAATTTACTTTTACATCTTTACTGTCACTTTTGATTTAATGCATATTTGCTATATAAAAAATATTAATTAAAAAAGTCTTACTGACCATAAACTTTTGAATTGTGTCTCTCAAAGCTATTCACTCATGCATTTGATGTGACATTTTATTTACTTGATTATGGGGTGTCTATTCATTACCCATATTCGGTAAGATTGCTGTTGCTGAAGCACTTACTGTAGATCTCAAAAATGCAAATGCAAAAATTTATTAATACAATTTACAATCCCACAATGCATTGCGATAAAGATAAAAAGATAAAAAAATAGATAAAAAATAGAAATCCATTACAGTTCATTCAACACTGAAAAGTATTAATAAACATAAATGCATTGGAACATATTAACTTCATATGCTAGGCATATTGCCCTGCCCATTATGTCCAAATCTATCCACAAATCTCTCTTTATCCACTTAAAAAAACAAAACAAAAACAAAAACACAACAATTACACAAAATAAACACTTTAAAGGCTTATATTTTTATTTCCCAATGATTTTTTTCATTCATATTTTCATTTATCTTTTTTCATTTACTTTTTTATGCCCCACTCCTTATTATTCTGTATTATTTAATTAGCACAATCAGAATGATGCAACTCCAGACGCTCTGAGGTCAATGTTTTCACTCCTGTAGGGATCAATCAGAATCAGGTGTGATTCTTTTAGAGTTTAATGAGGACAGGTGTGAATGTGCCGATAAACAGCAAGACATATTGCAAACATGTTTATCACATTTAATAAGTCCCTCAGCTTGCAAACATTTTTAGATGAAGAATACATATTTTTAACCACCAGTTATTTCCACAACAGGATTTCTCTAGAGTCAGAAATTACACAGGTATGATATCACAGTTTCACTGGGGGAATCAAAAAGACATTTGATTAGGATTTTAAGCATATTATAATGAAATACGCTAAGGCATGTATTTCAACAATGAGCTATGAATTAAATCTATAATCTAGCTTTAATATTTCATGCATCAAGAATCATTGTCTTCATCAACACCATAAAAGCATGAAAAAATAAGGATCCCATCATGCCATTGGGCACTATTGACCATGTTAACCTCTCCACTATATCTCAAACTTTCAGTACAAAATGTCTGACTTCTTCTTGTTTTACAAAGGCCAATTTCATATCCTGAATACACAGAAATATAACATTTTCACACTTTTACAGCTCGATTGGAAATGACACAGAAAAAAAAATTATGTTCTGCAATGTAAAAACTTTTTTTGAAGTTGCAAACAAAGATTAATAGAGTGTGTTTTACAAGAAAGGTCCACCCAATTGGCCCAACGACGGAATCCAATGGCGTGGGCGAAGGTATAATGCATGTAGGTATTTTACTTACGCACTTAGTTTATCATGTGTTTTAAAGAATAAACTCAGCTACTACATGTGCACATAGACTAGCTGAGTTTATTCTTTAAAACACATGACTGCTTTACTGTAAGTGTGAAATACTTAGGTAAAAGGTTGTAGATGCTATGCATTCTAGACCATGTGTCTTGTGTAAAATTAGAATAACTGTAACATTAGAATTATTCAGCAATTTCAAGTTGTGTGACTATGTTGAATTTGTTTGTCTCCAACGTGGAACACTCGACTATTTCCCATATAGCTGCACTAATCCATGTAGAGGAACATAGAATTGCCATGTGGCTACAATGTGATTCACAATTGCATTATCTTATCTGAATGGGCTTCTAATTGTTTAATTATGTAATTGGCATGATACATTTATACCTGACAAATAAAATGTTATATCTGATTTATTATGAACTCTCCTGAAATCATTATGATTAGTAGATCACGTGGAGGCTGATGTTACCTCAAATCTACGGCCAGGATAGGTCAAACAGAGGTTCATGTATGAATGGAGCAGTAGGCACGTCATCTGAGACCTTCTGATTTCTGTCTATCACTGATTCTAGGAAGTTGTACGGCACGTCATCTGAGACCTTCTGATTTCTGTCTATCACTGATTCTAGGAAGTTGTACGGGAAATTACTAAATAAACTACACTTTTTGTCAAGAGCAAGCAGTAGGCTGCCAGACAAAACAGGTATTAATCAACCTACATCCTCTGACGAAAATCAGTCTGGCATGTGGGTCCCTGATGAATGAATAATTGAAAGTATGGGACATCCAGAATAATCAGATATCTAAATTGATACATAATCGATATCTGTGATCAGTTCTTAATTAGAAATACAGTCTAAATTTAATGATCACTTGAAATTGGAGTCAGGTTAAACATGGAGCTAGACTAAAATTTAAACTAAATCCTGATAAACTTAGTGCGCAAGTAAAAGACCTACATGTATTATACCTTCGCCCACGCCATTGGATTCCGTCGTTGGGCCAATTGGGTGGACATTAAATTGATTTTTATACTTCCAAAATTCATGATTAATTCAATGTGTTACTTAAAATTTCGCCGTAATTATTTGTGAAATTTACTAGGAATTTCTGAGGGAAAATTGTTTCAAAATGAATCATACACCATTTTTTTTTTCAAACAACATGTCTCATATTTCATCTGAAGCTCTTCACTGATCCTGTTGAGCATTATTGGGGCAAAACTCTTGGTGATGATGGAAATGACATCACAACTGGACAGCCATAATATGTTTAAAAAAATGAAACATTTTCACAAAATAAATACTAAAATAATTTATATTTATTTTCTTTCTTTAAATGTCCATAATAAAAAAAAATGCAGTTATGCACATTTTAGGAAGGGTTTTCTTATTTCAAAATGTAAAGCCTGGTACTGGAACAAAGGCAAAACAATAAAAAAATGCACATAAAATACATTTAAATTAAGCAAATATAAATAATGAATGCATGCTGAATTAAATTCTAGCAGCTGAACTCGGCTAGTTTTAATATATATCAAATATCCAGGAACATAAAAGCACCAAGATTAAGAAAAATAATAAGTTTAACAGACTGCATTCATTGATTTATGTAACTCAGGATCAAATTAGAGGGAAATCTCATAGGAAAAGCTTTCTGTTGATAGAGGATTGATGTAGTGACAGTAGTGATGCAACGCAGGAGGGGTAAGGATATAAATAAGTGCTTTCTGCATGTTCGCTATTGCGTAGACAGGTAAGGTCTGTCAATAATGTCTAATGGTATAATTCATGTTCAAGCCGCAGGGCTGATAATGTTTTTATGTGTTTATGGCTATGAAATCTAACTATTAGTGGTAAAAGGTCACATTGCTCTAATGATAATAAGAAAAACAGTGCATTATTTGCTTATACATAAATGTCTGTGTATTTTGCAACAAACCATGTCCAGCTGATGATGGACCTAAACAACTCATCCTGGACTAGGACTGACCGTGGGCCTGTTCTCTGTTTTGGGTCGTCCAACAACTCCTGTGAGAGATTCATCTACCCGTCAGAGATTCAAATATTGCTTTATTTGTTCTTCAGTGCCATAGCGCTTACCACAGTATGTGGAAACCTGCTGGTCATCATCGCCATCATTCATTTCAAGCAGCTGCACACACCAACAAACTACCTCATCCTGTCTCTGGCCGTGGCCGACCTGCTCATCGGAGGTTTTGTAATGCCTCCCAGCATGCTGCGCTCTGTTGAGACTTGCTGGTACTTGGGAGACATGTTCTGTAAAATACACAGCAGTGTCGATATTATGTTATGCATCACATCTCTTTTGCACATATCTTTCATCTCAATCGATCGCTATTATGCCGTATGTCACCCGCTTCAGTACCAGAATAAAATCACACCTCCCATTTCTCTCATTATGATTTCCCTAAGCTGGGGTCTGGCTGCCTTTGTTGGATTTTCTATGGTGTTTCTACAACTCAACATTTTGGGTGGTGAGGAGTTTTATTTCGATAATGTAGCCTGTAAAGGAGCTTGTATCATCTTTCAAACCGCAGCAGCCAGCACCATTTCCTCGTTTCTTGCTTTCGGCCTTCCCACAATAATTGCTGTCAGTATTTATCTAAAAATTCTGCTTGTTGCACGAAGACAATCAAAATCTATACAGCATTCAGCACACTTGGGCAAGAAAAACTGTGTATCTATAAACAAAACCGAGGGGAAGGCCACAAAAACGCTGGCTATCATCATGGGGGTTTTTATTGTCAGCGTCTCACCCTTTTTCTTCTGTAATCTAGTAGATCCGTTTGTTGAATACACAATACCACCGACCATATTTGATGTATTTTTGTGGATTGGATATTTGAATTCTCTGTGTAACCCTTTTGTGTATGCATTCTTTTATAGATGGTTTAGAAAAGCTCTGAGAATCATTCTTTTGGCTAAAATATTTCAGGTTAACTCTTCACAAACTAACTTGATGGAAAGACGTGATTAGGAATGACTATCTTTTGTAAATAATATATATATATATATATATATATATATATATATATATAGCAAAATCAGTGCAAGGGGCGCAGAATTTCTAGCGACACCACTGTTGACAGTGATAGTAACAGTGTTACTAACATTAGCTATGTTATTAATTTAACTACTAAGCTTATCATTCTCAGCATCTTTGCTATTATTAAAATCACGTAGCTTGTTAGTAGGGACCTTATTATTGAATAAGTAAAGCGGTAGTGTGGTTGAAATGGTGCAGCATTTTTTCCCCCTTGAAAACAAAGCCTACAGTATTTTCTATCAGATGTTTCATAACAACAGTGTTTGATTTGGGATTGAATGATTCTTTGAATTGGTTATTTTATGAATCATGGTATGAAAAATCAAAGTTGCCAGTTTATCAGTTTGTGTTGGAATCGATAGTGGATTCAGCGCAAATGAAAAAGTGAATGGTTTGTTTTGAACCAGTGCTTCAGAGTGCGTATCAAACTGCTGAAGTCACATGATTTCAGTAAATCATCCGTTACATCATATCTGTTTTGAAATGTCTTGAAATTTCAATGATTTTCAATGATGATCTCTGCAAACCCATGAATCATGCACCATTAAACAGGTGTCTATATAGTTTTTACCTGATCTCGGCAGTCGTGGCCTAATGGTTAGAGAGTCGGACTTGTAACCCGAAGGTTGTGGGTTTGAGTCTCAGGTCCGGCAGGAATTGTCGGTGGGGGGAGTGAATGTACAGCGCTCTCTTCCACCCTCAATACTATGACTAAGGTAAGACCCTTGAGCAAGGCACCGAACCCCCGGGTGCTGCAGCAGTATGGCTGCCAACTGCTCTGGGTGCGTGTTCACGGTGTGTGTATGCTAGGGGGATGTGCCGATATGAGTATCAGTACCGAATGGTTCACGGGGCAAATTCAAAATGGAAGTGATCATCCCTATCCTTGGAGTGGGGACTTTGGAGTGAGAAGGGAACGTGTGTGCCATTATGTATTCATTTGGAATGCACTGATTCGCTGATGGACACCGGCCATTTTATATTTTAAAAAGTTTTATATATTAGTTTTATATATTATATAGCATATTTTAAAAACTTTTTAAAATATAAAATGTATGTTTATTTGCAACAGTTATGCTAACAACAATAAAAAGACATTTATGACAGTAAAACAGCAACATCTGCTGACGGACACCGTGCTGCGCTTTTCAACCAGTATGAATCATGGTATGAAAAATCAAAGTTGCCAGTTTATCAGTTTGTGTTGGAATCGATAGTGGATTCAGCGCAAATGAAAAAGTGAATGGTTTGTTTTGAACCAGTGCTTCGGAGTGCGTATCAAACTGCTGAAGTCACATGATTTCAGTAAATCATCCGTTACATCATATCTGTTAAACAGGTGTCTATATAGTTTTTACCTGATCTCGGCAGTCGTGGCCTAATGGTTAGAGAGTCGGACTTGTAACCCGTAGGTTGTGGGTTTGAGTCTCAGGTCCGGCAGGAATTGTCGGTGGGGGAATGAATGTACAGCGCTCTCTTCCACCCTCAGTAC